TGAGTTGAACGCGATTGCATTTGGAGGAAAATACCAACATTGAGTAAGACGATTGATACTAGAAGGATGCTAGTTAGCGAATACTGTCCGCTATACATTAGGAAGAGTGGGTTTCTCTCGATATATATATATATATATATATATATATATATATATATATATATATTGCAACAGTCTATGAATAGGTATTGAGCCATCGGAAACCATGGAACTCAAAACAAGGTAAAGCAATAGTAAAAGAAAACACAACACAACACATCAAAGTCCATAGTTTCGTCAGAGGGCGAGTTACTACCCGGTTGCCCAAGCCGAAGTAGGGTGTTAACTTAGGGGACACCACCCCGAGCGTTTGGCTGAATAACCTGCCCGCAAGGCAGCGGAGCGAATTCAGGGAATCGCGCCCATTGGGAGCCGGTGACTGATTGCTCAGTTCATACGCCTTTCGTTTGTTCCTTTGTCAAACAGGGGCCCCATGCTCCCCAGAATTACAGCACAAAGTTGCTGGAATAAAATTTTTCGCCAGGATGAAGCAAGGTGCAGTGACTATACTTAGTGACGAGTCACGTCCGCCACGTCACAGTGTTGTGAAACGGACGTATGTGGTTTTTTATGGGGAGGACGCTTGCCAGGCGAAAACCCACCACGTCCTGGAACACTGCCGTCGAACCATTTGCTGGAACGGGAAAATCCCGAACCACCCAGCTGGCACCACAAGGAGGTTGTTCGGCAAGCCAGCCGCTCATTAGCATTGGATGCCCGTTGCAACAAAGTCTACGCCGGCGTAAAGTTATTTCAAGGAAGTGCACATCCTGATACTAGGTATGGCTCAAATGGTGTAAACTTACACCTACGTAACAAGAGATGTGCGGCTGCAAAAATAGGAACATTTTGATATGCTGTAAAACACTTTATGCAGTTGAAGGGGCCACAAAATGAGGTCGCACTTTTTTATTGCGAATCAGTGGGAAGCAAAAAGGGATACAATTGCGAAAATTTTAGACTTTGTGCACAAAGTTAAGAAAGCAAAGTCATGTTCGTACAGTTAAATGAAAAATCTCTTTAACAATGCAGTCGACAGTCACTCTGGTTTCGGTGGTGGTTCTCCTCTAAGAACATGAAGTTCTGAAGTATTCAGGGAGGAGTGTGAACAGTACAAGGTAGTCTGAGAGCGACAGAAGACACAAGGTATCACATGTGCAGTTGTGGTACTACTCACGTTTGCGACAAATCGGAATACTTGTAGCTCAGGTTGACTATTCTGGTTTTCGCTTGTTCTCCGAGCTGAGAAATTGTGCTGCAGATGTTTCGTCACCAGCCGAGGTGACATCCTCAGCACCTCACTGCTTAGCGTACAGCTCGTTGAGTGCGTTTTCGGCTCTTGATCGATGTGCAACTGACGTTTGAAATTTGACTCTTCGCTCCGTATCATGTGACCTTCGGTGGTTTGTTGTTCGGCCGCCGCTGCTTCCTGCCTTATCTTAGGATTTCTGATCCGTCCAACTTCTTTCTCTCTCAATGGTTGATATACCGGATCTAGGTCTGTGCACGGGTTTATGGAGTGTTCTGTAGTAAACCACACTTCAAGGAATTCTCTGCTTTTTCTCGTTTCTCCCTGCGCGAGAATTTCGCTTTTGTCCCCATCAGACCTGTGCCGCTCCACATCAACATGTGCAGAGACCAGAGATGGTGCGTAGTGCTTATGACAAGTTCACTTGTGCTCTTGTATTTGTGTGATCAACTTCCTCCCTCTTTGGCCTACATAGTTCTTCTTGCAGTGTTTGCATTGTATGTTGTAAACAACATTACTACGTTCGTGTACCTACAATTTATCTTTCGGTTTAGACAAGGACCCCTTAAGTGTGGTGGTTGGTATGTGGACAACCATCAGATGATACGGTTTGAGAAATCTGGCCGTCATTTCTGCTACGTTTTTGACGTAAGGCACAGCGATCCGTTTCTTCGTTGTTACTACAGGCGTGGTATTTTCAGCCCTGCAGTACAAGTGTCTTCGGATGAAACTGCGCGGATATCCATTGTGCATAAAGGACATAAACAGATATCACTCTTTCTCCTTCGCCTCGCCTCCTCAATATTGCAGTATGACTTAATCCTGCGAAATAGGGTCCGTATGCAGCTTATTTTGTGGCAATTTGGATGATGACTGTTGAAATTTCGACAGAAATCACCTTTTGGGTCACATCTAATAATCTGGATGGCTAATTTGGAGACGGACAAACGGAATAAAACCAAGAGAGCTCCAAAAAAGAATGTACTTGCGTCTGTCAGTAATGCGAGATACAGCTTGAGGCAAGCTGCCATTCTTGGAAATGTCATGTAACAAGCAGTGCACAAGGATAGGAGACTAAAAGCTGGCAGCTAAACCTATACCCTTACACAAGCAGAACAGCAACGACCCAACTAGGTTAAAAATAACACTAACTATTGGGTCTTACTCTCTTTCAACACTGTTTCTTCCGCGACCGGTTTTACACTTGTTCTCCTTCATCAGGCGGCGATGGCAGAATTGCGACTCGATCCCAGAGACATTTGGGGTGTCTGCAGAGGTCACTAAGCCACCGAGTTGCGGTGGGCAAAGCTTGTGATAACGGTTTGTGATTCATCGAAGCTCGCGTTGTGTGATGCGCAATCGCAGCCAGGACCATGTTTCGCATGGAAGGAAACCACTGTCGATTCCGCCACTGGAATTCAGTGGAAAAAGGCTAGAGGCTTTGACTGACCACCTGCTCCGGCGCTTCGACTGGAGTCCTGCTATCTCCACCTGATGAGATCAACTAAGTTTGAAATCGGTTGTGGAGTGCAGTGTTTTCGGGTGACTGACACTCTACACTCATCTGCTTCAGTTACAGTCACAGTGATGGAATTAACCAAGGTTCACTTCAATGGGAATCATGATCCACCTTGAGATGGCGGGTCGCAATCCATTCCCACATCGTCTTTGCTACCCCTTTAACTAACGACGGCAAGAAAATTGAGTTGACGATTACAGCATTAGAATGAACAGTTCTATCGAAAAACCTGGTTGATATACCTTTCACTTATCTAATGTAAGGTACTTAATTCAAAGCTGTTTTCCCTGGTGCGTACTTTACACCAACGCTGCGTCTCGTACAGTGAGCTCTGTGTGTAACTACTCGATAACATGGCAAAATGTCCCGTTGTAACCGGTGAAGCAACAGAGTCTGGCTGACTGGCTCTGTACTTCTTGGGGCTGGCCGCATCTATGACTGGAGCTCTATCGTACATGGTACAGTCGCAACCTCAGCGACACTTTGCTCCTCTCTTTTGCCCACTAAGTATTTCTCTTCGTCACTTGTATCGTCTTGCTTCTCTCATTCAGCTCTGTTTCTCTTGCTCTCACTATCGTCTTTCTATTTTTTTTTCTGCATGGATGAACTCAACCTAGTTCGCTGTGCTTTGATGAACCGATTAGTTGAACTATAACTAAAGCACCACATGTTTGCACTTATTGACAACCCAATAATCCGCAGCGACGACTGTTGGCTCTCTTATCGCGGTCTGTATTAGTGCTTGCACACTCATTTCTGCCGATGATTTGCAGCGCGTTTTCAAAACATCGTGCTAACGCTGCTCGCATTCGAACTGCAACCATACCACAAACCAACTCACGAATCTCAGCTCTCCAACTGTTCTAGTTGACCATCAGACACCACCCACCTATGCAGTTCGCAATGCGCCTAGATCGCCTGCGTTTTCTTTAGGACTACCATAACCCAGCAACCAACGCACAATGTACGTATTGTTGTCTTCGAGTATCGTCCACGTTCACTCTCACTCTCTATTCGGATGCTTGTATGAGTAGAACCTTCTCCACGGTTAGGTAATCAGTGTGATTGGCGACTTGAGCATTTCGCGTATTTCGACTGTAACATTGCTTTTCATTAGTCTGTGTCAGCGCGTCTTTTCATGAGCGTGCTCTTTAATTCGGTTGCACAAGACTTAGGCTAACACTCAATTACCGTATCATTTTATTCCGATAACGAGTACTGTTCCCAACCGGTTAACCCGACCGCGCACTGCTGCTGCGTTCCAAGGTTGCGTTGTATAAGGTTTTTATCGCATTTCACCTACTTCTATTTGTGTAGTCCGAAAGTGACGGCAGCGACAGCGGAACGGAACACCGGAAGACTCCCCATGACCACTGCGAGTGCATGCTTTAATGCGGCTTTGATACACTTAAGTTTCACCTCATCGCCAATTGTGCACCAGAAGCTCAATCACACAGGATATCTCGGTCACAGATTTCGTTTCGTGTGTGTGTACCATTTTTCTTTCTCATGGCAAGCTAGAGACCAAGGAGTTGACCGGAAGAACTCGTGGACATTCCCAAGCGTATCTCTTGATTAGTCTGAGGACAAGTATGACGAGTTCACTGTTCTCGCGCTCATCGTTCTCTAATCACCACATCAATTCACATAACGCTTTCTAGCTCATTTACTGTACACTTGGGCGCAACACACGAGCAGCCAAGTGTCTCCTACTGTCAATACCCGAGGCGACCGATATTCGGTTCCAAAATCCTGGCGTGTTTGCACACAAGAAATTTGTTCACTCCCACCTTGTTCGCAACCCACCAAGAGTAAAGATGGCGATCGCGCCACTCCTCCGATTTGGTACTGACAAGGTCACTTAGGTGATTCTATCGACTTGACATTTCGATGCAGGGACTCAACATGTTTGTTTGTTCCTAGTTGTGATTGTATTCACCTGACAATTAGCAGATGAAACTAGGCTTGTTCAGTAGCTCTGGCCTCTGCCGTTTTTTTGGTAGTTATTTCTCCAACAAAAGTACTTTTCTTGCTTTATACTTGACCATCACAAAACATACCTTGCCACTACTATTTCCGCTTTTGCTCATACTGACGTCTCTGGTTGCTGCATTAACTAGCTCCGCTTTTTATGCACACATCAGCTTGGTTGTTTCTTTCTAGCATCTTGACCATCCTTTTTTTTTACTACAGCCACTTTCTTCGAGTACCCGATCGTCGTGCTGTGGAAGAAAAAGTATTTTCGGAATCATGGAACACTCTAATGCGCTCGATCAGGAAAATCCTACTGGATATCTTCTACCACACTATACGGGATTACGAGACACATATCCGTTTACTTCTCGAAGCTCAAGGAAGCGTCGGTTGGGATTTCTTTGAGTATCTAGATCGAAAGGTGAGTGCTGCAGCCACCGTTTTTCAACATGCTGGGGCTCTTTTGCGTGTTTTATTTTTATCTGCATATTCATACTAGTGCCTATTTGCTTTTGTGTACTGTGCTTGTTTAATTTGCCCCAGGTGTTTATCATTGAATTTGCCATATCAAATAATCACATATCTGCTTTGGATGTCCACTACGCTCTGCTGCGTTGTTGTTTCGTAGACAGGGGTCTTTCAATTTCTTTTCTGTTAACACTAGACATTGTCGACTCACCTAGTATTGGACTCTCCAAGAAACGAATCTAATGATCTACCCACTTTACTTCTCTATGTCCGTTCATTGTGCACCACATTCACAAGAAATTTTTAAACGCGCTATTCCTGTCATTCCTACTCGTTACACCCAACTCAACACGTAAAATGATCATCATCTCCGCTTCGTTACTCACAGGAAGAACTCGCAGAACTGTACTTGTTTCTCCGAGGTTACGAGGACGCTTTGCATGAATACTATGACATCGAGTCGTTGCTCGCGCTCTCAATCAGGAATAGTGCCTCTGCTGGTGAGATCTGGTATTATTGGCTCGCTCTCATTGTCACTAAACAATCGCTACTCCCGTTGAACATCCGAACTTTTGCGTTTTACTTTCTTTACCCTTTGGTACTTCTCATCAGGTTCTCATCCCGTTTGGATCGATCAGTTGAACAGACGGTCTTCCCAAAGTGCATCTACATGTTCTTTTCTGTCTTGTTTTCCTGTGATCAACTCTGGTTCGAATTCACAACAAACGCGAGCTGTACGGAACCGTACTGCCACTTTATTCGACATCCGAACGTATCTCTTATCAAAGCAGTCGATACTTTTGAAATCGCTTAAACGACTGCATGAGTTTCCGGCTCTGGCACTTTCTCGAATAGTGGCTGCTGTGCAAGAATCAAGAATTTTAAAGGTAAAATCGACTTTCTATCGCATCAACATCACATCCAGCTCCGTTAATCAAATGTCTTTTCACCTCCTTTGTCAGTTTCTTGCCTTGGGCTGTTCGTTTCCGGAGAGTCGAATGCTTTATTCTTCAATTGATTTTAGCAATTTCCTGACCATTTACCAACATTTTGCCCATCGCTATCACAAAATGACTGTCAGAAAGAGATCATGGTCTTTTTCGTGTATATCCAGTGTTCATCAATATCTTGCGGTGAGTCGCAGCTAGGTGCATCGGCCAGGGAAGATTGATCACTTTGTTCAATAGTTTATTTGTATTAACATCAGAATGCTTCATTTTCGGGGACCCTACGAAACATATGTAGATGTTCGCACAGGCAAGAGCATGGTTTGAGTCAAAAAATGTGAACCGGATTGATCTGCAGTTTCGCACTTCACCCTGTCATCTGAAACTGCTTGCGATGTGATCAATCTGTGATCATGATTGAGTCGCAATAGGAGGCGCTAAGTAGCTGAACGTCTCGAATACCGGAAGCTGGTGCTCGAGTGAACAGATGTTTGGTTTCACTCAGTGTGAGAAGTCTCTGTCCATTATCTACAAGGCTGTAATCGAGCGCATGGTGACCTCCGAGGTGACTTTCACATGGGAATGGACGACCGATGCGTGTGTTGAGATCCGCACAAGGATATTAGTAGCTTTGCAAATTCTGCTCAAGAACGGGTGAAATTCACCATAAAATTGTCCCTAACCGAGTCACAACTGCAGTCCATCGGGGCGCACGCCGAGATTACAAACAAGTTTCGTCACTACACTTTGTCTGTTGATCCAGCAACATCCCCGAGATCGGACTGCACTCAGTCGGCTCTCCTCGTTAGGAACGGTACTTTTTGCTTTAAGTCCCACCCTTCACTACTCTTCTAACATCGATGAAATTTAGTTTCCACCCATGTTTAGGGTGTATTGGTCTCATTTATACTTTTTGCCATGCGCCTATTTCGGCAATGTTCTATGATTTGAAGGTTTCTTTGATTTCGTTGGTTTTTCCCGTTTGCGGCCATGTCTACCTCTTAGAAGCACGTTTGAGATGTTTCTGTTTATACCACAAATCCTAGCGTGGTGTTTGGGCATACGGGGATTTCTCATCTCGATTCGGTACTGCAAGTAGAATACGTCGGGATTTTCGTATGCGTCCGTTTCTTCTACTTCGTGATCGCAGTGCGAATGATTAAGGTGGTGCGACGGTTTGCGTACCTCCTTGACCCATTGTGCTATACTACGCACTGCCTTCCGGTCCCTTGAATGCTACTCCCAACAGCTTGGTCAATGGTTAGAGGTCAAACAAACTCAGTCTTCTGGTCCTCCAGGTTGGGGGTTTGATATGAGATAGCGTTCATTTTTGTAAAACTAAATCATTGCCATCTCCCCGCTGCATTGCGGACAGACTTTTGAGTCAAAACCTTTGGTTGAGGATCCTACTCATCCTCCTGGCTAGCTCTGGGCGCCCTGACAGTATCTCAGCCCACATACAATCATGACAATTTTCCCCAAACTCTAACTACATTCTTCTTCGGTCGCCGTGCAGGTTATCAAGTGTCGCCTTATCCGCTGCATACTGCAGGGCGAATAAGCGAAAATATGCTACTGCTGGCGCCTCCCTTCTTTCTTCTTCACCTGCTTCTCTTCCCTACCAACCCACCTACTATAGTTCCCAGCCTAATTGACAGCAGCCGAAGTGCCACTGGAGTCAAAGTACCCGGGAAAAGGTAAAAACATAGAGGAAAACCGTTATTTTAGCAATTAATTTGATTATCTTCGATCGTGCATTGATTTCGAAGATTCCGGAACCTTCCATTCCTTCACTTGATCGCCAACGTACGGAGTTTTGGCAAGAAGGCTACTAATTTTACCAGTTGACCGTCGTTTTCTAGAAACCGAAGGTCATTGATCCCCCTATATATTTGGTGTAGATCCGGCGTAGTGGTACAGCGTTTTGGCGGCATTTTTAGCTACGTTGGTTGGGTTTTTGTTAACACGTTTTCCGTGGTCAAAGTCGTTGGACTTCTGATTTTTCTTCGGCTGGGCTAGAATTTTTGGGTGTTTAATTCGGAATAGCGAGAAAAAGTGGAGATCTTAACGATGGTGACGGATAAGCACGAAAATGTTACAAATTTTTCTGCCGAACATTTTTGAAAGCTGCTTCTTCAGCAAAAATCCCAGATGGAAGCACAAATGAAACTGATTGGAAGTTTAACGCAGTGCTTGAACGTACAGTCAAACGGAGCAGCTACACGGGACACACAGGCAGTTTCACTTGATCTTCTTACGAATTCAATCACTGAATTTCATTATGATGCTGATTCCGAATGCACTTTCGAGGCGTGGTTCAAATGCTGAGAGGATATGTTCCGGACGGATTTCAGCCGTCGAGATGATTCATGGGAAGTGCGTCTTTTGCTCCGCAAGCTCGGTACTAATGAACATACAAGATTCGTTGACCATATCCTACCCAAAGGGGCGTAGGACATCACTTTCAAGGAGGCAGTGGCAACTCTCCAAGAAATGTTTGGTGAGCCGACCTCTTTGTTTGGCATTCTCTATCAATGTCTAAAAATTGTTCAGCGTGATATAGACGATTATGGGGCACTAGCCGACATGGTTAACCGTGAATGTGAACGTTTCAAGTTACGCTGTTTGACGGATGACCAGTCTAAGTGTCTCATATTTGTCAGTACTTTACAGTCTCCACGCGACGCTGAAATCCGCACTCGGCTCCTTGCTAAGTTGGATCAAGATCCAGATTTGACATTGAAGTCTCTTGTAGGCGAATGCAAACGATTGATTACCTTGAAACACGACACGGCTATGATTGAGCAGAGTCGCCCCACCATTGCCGATACTGTTCATGCTGTGCAAAAAGCAAGAAAGGTTGGCTCGAACAAGCCGTTTAACAGAACGCCGAACAAGCCGTCCACACCTTGTTGGTCATGTGGTGAACAGCATTTCGCACGATACTGTCCATTTGTGATAAGTGCCATAAACGCAGCCACAAGGAGGACGTTTGCCATCATTTCCGGCCAAGAAACGTGGCAGTCCTACCGAAGAAAGAATTTCGGAAACCTGACGCTGAATCACTATCGGTGATTGCGACGTTTCACAGCGATTGTAGAACACGCCGTCGATTTATCACTGTGCTTATCAACGGAATCCCAACCCGGCTACAGTTCGATACGGCATCAGATATAACGATCATTTCCAAGAACACTTGGCAGCACATAAAGAAGCCGAAGATGATTGGTTCCAACAAGGTCGCCCACAACGCATCCGGTGGAGTGCTGAGGATGGTCGGAGAAATAAATTGCAAGATTGCATTCAACCTAGTGGAACAGGCCGGAACTTGCTACTTGTCTGATCGACCAAACTTGAACCTCCTTGTACTTGACTGAATGGAAAAGTTACAACTGTTTGGTGTTGCAATGAGTCAGATTTGCAATAGAGTCCAAACCGACCCCGTCCATGCATCATTGTCGATAGAAGCCATGAGAAGAAAGCTAAAGCAGAAGTTTGCCTCCTTGTTTGAAGATGGTGTCGGCCACTGCACTAAGTTCAAAGCAAAGTTGTGCCTTCGCGAAGGAATCAAGCCAGTGTTCAGAGCAAAAGGACGGGTACCGTATGCAGCCATGGCAGCAGTTGATCAGGAGCTCGACCGACTGGAACGAGCCGGTGTCATCACACCAGTGAACTACCCTTCATGGGCTGCACCGATTGTTTCTGTGAGAAAGTCTAACGGTAAAGTGCGTGTTTGCGCCAATTTTCGACTTGCCTGAATGCTGCATTGGACGACCATCAATACCCCCTTCCGATACCAGAGGATATCTTTGCCAAGCTGAATGGTGGGAAGTGTTTCGCCAAGCTTGACTTGTCCGATGCCTACCTCCAGGTCGAGGTTGATAAAAGCTTGAGAGAATTGCTGACCATCAACACTCATCATGGCTTGTACCAGTACAACCGCCTCGTTTTTGGAGTGAAAACAGCACCAGCCATCTTTCAGCAGCTGATGGACACTATGCTCTCGGGAGTTTCTGGAACCGCGACGTACCTGGATGATATCATGTTAATGGGTCGGACGGCAGAAGAACTGTTTCATCGGCTGGTTGAAGTGCTCCTTCGTATCCAGTCATATGGTTTCCGTATCGGTGAAGACAAGTGTACCTTTTGTTACACCAACCATCTAGTTTCTCGGCTTCATTTTCTCGAAGTCGGTCATCGCTCTGATCCAGAAAATATCCGATATATTGAAAGGATGCCCCCACCTGTGTACTTGCAATCGCTGCGTTCGTTCTGTGGCCTGATCTGTCATTACAGCGCTTTTCTGCCCGAACTGCATCGCCTGCGTGCCCCGTTGGATAAGTTGCTGAGCAAGTGCCAAATCTGGAATTAAACGCCAGAATGCCAGGTTGCGTTCGAGCGGGTCAAGTCATTGCTGATCTCAGACCTACTCCTAACTCACTTTGGTCCCTCCCGTGAAATTGTCCTTGCCACAGACGCATCAAGTCTAGGGATCGGTGCCGTTGTTTCTCATACGTTCCCAGATGGATCTCAGATGGAGATCGCACATGCCGCCAGGAAGTTGACGAAAGCCGAGAGAAAGTATAGTCAGATCGAGAAGGTGTTGGCCATAGTGTTTGCTGTGAAGAAATTTCAGAAGATGCTGTATCTTCGGATCATAAGCCCCTGCTGGGTATTTTCGGCTTGAAGAAGGTAATTCCTGCCTATACAGCCAATGGACTCCAACGATGGGCACTTACCTTGCTTGGCTATGATTTTCAACTCCGGTATCAGTCAACGGATTCGATGGGCCAGGCAGATGCATTGTCACGCCTCATTGATTCCCAGCAGCAGGAACACGAGGACACTATCATTGCCTCAGCTGCGATCGAACGTGGTGTGAAATTCCTGGTGAGCGAGGCACTACATGGGATGCCAGTTACGGCCGATGCTGTGCGGGC